AGTTTCCGTGAGATCTTCTCGTTGACGACTACAGAAAATCAAATGTATCAGATGGTGAGGATATGAATGGAGGGGTTTTGCGATGGGTTTCAAAATTAATACCTTGTTTGGCTAAGCTTATTGTATTAGAAGATAGCTAATATAATAACCCTCCTTTGCTATTACATGATAGCGGTTTTGCTATGAACTCAACACTAGGCCTGGGATCGGTCCGGTTCTTATCTTTTTTTTTCAAGAACCGGAACCGGAACCGAACCAAAAAAACCGGTTCGGTTAGCACCTAAAAAATTGCAGGAACCGAAAAAGAACTGAACCGGTTTATAACGGTTCGGTTTTTTCGGTTATTAGGTTAACCGAATAACAAAAAATAACCGACAAAAACCGGTTTTGAGTTAAGAACCGGTCAAAAAAATGCAACTCACGGACTAAAAATATCATGAAAAACCGAGAACCGAATGCAAAAATGAAGAACCGAATATTAAGTACAAGAACCGGAACTGATTTATACATATAAACATATAAAACATGAATATTGTCACATATATAACCGGTTCCTCGGTTAATACCAATACTCTTGGAAAGGAACCGGAAACCGGAACCGAAAACATGCAAAAAATAACTGAACCGAAAAAATAGTTTTTTTTTTTTAAATAACCGGACGAACCGGCTATTTTCGGTTCGGTCCGGTTCGGTTCTCCGGTTCTAGGGTATAAAATCCCACCCCTACTCAACACTTAGTTTTATAGTAGAGACAACCTTCTATATACAACAAATAAACTATCTTATTAATAAAATTTTATTAGTATTTTTTAAGTAATCAGAGAATATGGTAAGTTTACTTTTTGTATATAGAAGATTGGCTCCACGATGAAGGAACTGTTGGTTCCACGATGAAATCAAATGTTGGTTTCATAGCAAAACCGAATATGATAGTAGATGGTTTATTGTGTTGATGTTCAATAACCTGATAAATAGCATATTGTATAGATATTTTTAAAATTTTATATTTTACATGTTATTCTACTAATCATATCATATCTTCTAAAAAACTCATATATTAAGCTTTTTCATTAACTAGTACAATACCGGTGTATTACATGAGTTCGTAAAAACAATTCATATTTAAAATTATAAATAATAAAAATTAAAAAAAAGTGTTTTAGTTTTCAAATACATTTTTTTAGTAAGTATATTCCTATTTATATTTAAAATAACAAGCATCACTCGTACGGTTTACTGTCTTATATTATAATACTTTAATAACTTTGTAGCATAATTGATTAAAAAAAAATTATTCTTTAGTTAATATTAATGGATAATTTAATTTTTATAATAAAGATAAATATAATTATTTATTTATTTTATATGTACAATATAGGTGTCAAATCGAAATTAATCAAAACATGATTAATTTGATATATTATTTATACAACAAAATTGATAATAAATAAAAATTATTAAACTTTAAATCTACTTATAATTTAAAGAAAGATGAAAAAAGTAGAAAGATTGAGGAAGAAAAATCATGTCTTATAAATCACGTCTGGAATAGAAAATAATATTAATGCTCATAAAAAATACCATAAAAATCTAGTATATTTATAGTTATTCCAAACCTAATTATTTTTTTTGATTGAGAGTAAAAACTAAATGTATCCAAGCAAATGACAAAGGATAGCATAAAAAGATTGTTCTTAAAAAACTAATTATTCAATTAAGATATAAAACGAACTTTTTTTAAGAAGATCGAGCTTGTTTGATAAGCGTATTTGTAAAGAATTTCTTTGTAAAGCTTCAATCTGCTATTTTTTACCGCAATTCGTTAACGTCCAAACAGTTTTTTTTTTTTTTTTTTT